TGGTTACAGCTCGCGAACCGCATTTACCGACGGCAGACTCAGAGCTCCTAGCCGTGTCTGGCCATCATTGATTACAGCTCGCTGTTACTGGCTTTGAGACGGAAAGTCCTCTATCGTTATGTGTTTATTTGTTGCCGCGGAAACGTTTATTGCTGTCTTTATCAGTCATCATGTCACAATATGTTGAAGTTAAGAAGCGGGTCTATTAGTGTATCCTGAACAACTGAAGAATCATTATTACTATAAGTAATATATATTTGTTCTGATTCATCTGCAAGATATGTTAGTTTTCTTCTTGCAGTTAACGATCATCAGCGACTCCTTCATTTCAATTCTTTTAGCCTGCTTTGATCTATGCGTTTAATTAGGAATTCTCCCTGGGTATAATTTGAACCCATGTCTTTAGTAAGGCAGACATGTCAGCTTTTTTCTTTTCGTTACTTATTTGGTACACCTAGCTGGCGGTCAATAGAAGATCGAGTGAAGGAATAGAGCCTGGAGAAGGGATGGTACGAGAGTACAAAAGCACGTCGCCCATTGTACGCCAAAAGGAAGAAGAAATGTCGATTGCGAGAGAAGGAGATAGTGATGATACTCTGCGAAGAAGAAAAATAAGATATTAGAATTACCGGACCTGTTTATTAGTCGACTAATGCAACTTAGCAAACAAATTGTTACTAAAAGTTGGTCCGTTGCATCGAACTGTCATACACATGGCTGACGTGGGCTTTAATGGTGTGAGTTAGCAGACGAAGGTTGGAAATGACAGGAGAAGGCGGGAGAAGTATAGCATTAAGAGTTCCGACTTCCCGGAGCTGCACGATGTGCCTCGAGGTGATGTTTAGATGCACGAAATTATAGGTTTCGCCAGGTTGCTATTATGTCTTCGAAATGTGCATAAAAAGTATACATAAAGAAACCCCCCCTCCTCCCCCCGAAGGGTAAAGCAATTTCTCTACCATATTATTACATACAGGCCTACATTTAAACCAAAAAGGAAACAGAGAAGAATGAATTGTGTTTTTATATATTCGTTAATATTCGGGCGATTGATTCAGCAGTCGTTAAAATAAACTGCCGCACAAAGAGATCGTGGAAACCCCCGGCCGTCGCAGTCACAACAGCGTTCACTGAAGTGTGAATTTGATTCTTTTTCTGTAAGTTTCCATGGTGATACTTGATTATAGTTCCACAGGGCGTTCAATTTTTGGACTATTGTGCGCATGCACAACGAAGCGTGACCATTAAGAATAGCAACAGACGGCAATTTGCAATGACCTCTTGATCAACCCAAAGCGTAACTTTGTTTGGTTTTTCTTTCGTAGTTCATACGGGGCCGTCAAAACTGGACACAGCAGTTGCACTGAATTTCATGAATTTAGAGTAAGAGCATATAAGTGTTCGGAATTTATCATCACCCATTAGTAATACCATTTTTTTTTCGTCTACAGGCGCTAGAGTCCGCGATGAATCTTGGCCTCTTTTACGATTTCCCTCCACTGGTCCCGATCCTACGGCTTTCGTCTCCAATTTCTATAGCCCATTGTCTTCATATTTTCAACTGCATCCGACCATCGCATGGCAGGTCTGCCTACTCGTCAAGTACCCTCACGCTTATGTAGGGTGGCCGCACACCAACTGCGTCAAGACAAGCGTCAAGACATGATACATAAGACTCAGTCTTGTTTCATTCGTGATTCATCAGCATGAAGCTGACTTCGGCGTCATAACTCAGACCGGTGTGCGGCGCTTTTCATAATCTCATTCATTTCAACTGTGCTCCTTTCTTTGCGTTATGTCGCAGACATCGTGTCTTGCCTGTTACATGTCTTGACGCATGCCGGTGTGCGGCCTACCGTAGAGTTAGCTTCCTCGAAGGGTTTTGTTCCTGCATTCTAAAGAGCTGCCCCTGACATCTCAGCCGCCCTACTCTGATCACTTTTCTCTATCTGATGCGGTAGCGTAGTTGGTTGAGGTACTATGCTACAAGCCGGAAGGTCGCGGGTCCTATTCCCGATGAGGTGGATTTTTTTTTCAGTTTACCTAATCTTTCCAGTCGCACTATGGCCCTGGGGGTCGACCCAGCCTTTAACAGAAATGAGTACCAGGAATCTTCCTGGGGGTTAAAGGGCGGCCGACGATTGAGGCTCACAACCTTACCGCCATCTGTGAGCCGATTGTCTAGAAAATGTGGGAGCCTTGACCTCTCACGACCCTATGGGCCTTCACGGTCTGTTACATGGATAGCTTTACCTTACCTTTACACAATTTGACAGCGCGACACATCAAATAAATACGGACATTTAAAACAACTGCCCGTAGTAATAATATATTGGAGCCTGGATAGCCCAGAAGGTATAGCGACGGCTATGGGATGGACGGCCGGAGTTCAAGTCCCGTCAGCGGTAAGATTTCTCCTCCATAGCCTCCAGACCGGTTCTTGGTCCCGTCCAGCTTCCTGTCCACTAGGTACCGTGGGCTCTTACCCCAGGGCGTGAGGCTGACCACTGCTATCTATTGCCTAGGTGAAGAATGGTGGAACTATACCTCCACTTCCCGGTATGTCTTCATGGCACCTAATTAATTAAGCACATGGACAGTTTTATCTCTTACCTTACCTACAGTGATTTATTTCCATGTTTTAGTAGAACCTTGGAATATGAATGTGATTCAGAAAGGCTTCACATCGTCGACTGTGTATAAGTGCACAGGAAATGCCTCTGTACTGTAAGTACCAAGACTTCGACTTTGGTTCAGTGGAATTCCACCTAACCATTTCGGGGCCTGCGAGACATTCCATATGCCAGCTGTAGACCTAATTGCCTACCGTAGAAAGTAAATATGAATAGCTATACCGCTAAATCTAGAGATTCATTATAAAATATTGTCCCGTGTTGGGTGTTTGACGCGACAAATAACTTCACGCCATATTGGATATAGCGAATTTATTCCACATTCGCTCTTAAATTTACACAATTTACAGTTTCACAACTACTGCCATTGGCAGTATCACAGTTACTTCTCCTGCTGGAGTCACTGCCATTCACGCGATACAACTCAATAACAATCGACGTCAACTCATACTGAATACTAGTAACTCTCTCTCTAGTGACTGGCTCAATACTCATTACTCCTGAATAGTGTTCCCTGCTCCTTATTTAGGCTCGGCACGGACAACATAGAGAACACATTGCTGCTCGGCAACAGATATCAGGAATTGTTGCCAGGTTTTTCTACCTGCGCATTGCCTAGCAATAGTTGCTGCACGGACTCGCCTATTGCGTGACGTCACAGTCTAGCGGGGTGGACTGTTAACCGGAGTGGGGGTACCTGACGTCACTCGAGGAAGGGCGGAATTCACGTGACCCCTACTTCATGTTACGCCATCCACGTTACAATATACAGAGTGTCCCAGGAGGAATGTGCCAAACTTCGGGAGGGTGTTCCTTATGTTAAAGTATGCCGATATAACCCAAAACACCTATGTCCAAAGTTGAACGGTTACGGAGATAATGGCCAGAGAAGTGTCAAACTTTGACCGGGGTTACACACTTGTTGATTACAAAATAGATATTAAAACTGGCAGGAATATGTGGATTCTGTAATGTTAATAATGTACGTAACATCAAAC